CCATGAGTATATTTTTCCTCTCTCTTCACTAATTCCAAAACTTTCAGTATTTATCTGACAATTTATCTCTCATTCTATTTAGAAATCCAAAATTATACTGAAGGTTTCCTTGGGCCTTTAATAATCTACATATCAACCTTTATTCTACCTAATCCTGTAAGTGACCATCATCATGAATATTTACGACCTTTTATAATCTAGGAAAATATTTGTCATGTCTACTTTATAGTAAATTTAACTTCTTACTTAATTCAAGAGTAATTTTCATTTTTTGATTGAGCAGGAAAATATTGTGCACTATTTTTTAAATATTATCATTCTCTTTTTTGCACTCCTACAAAATATCTTGAACTTAAATACAATATTTCCAAAATGTAGTTCAATAAAAGAAGCACATTCCTTCTTGTGCAATTCATAGGAATGCTTTTGTACATCAAAAAGGAAGACTTTATTCCTCTGATTCATCTTTATTGACGAAATATCATTTATTCTTAAGTTGCAAACACATGAAGTAAGTCAATTGAAACTAGTCTCTAAGTTAAACTACTTCTGTGTCTAACTATAAATGTAAATATTCATGTCTAAGAAACAACTAGAGGCAAATATTATCTAAGACATCTTTTATTCTAAGAAAAGCATGCCAGAAGGGTTTTAAAAGATCCTCTTGTCATGTAGAGGAATAAGAAAAGGTGATTTATATATTCTTGGTTTATAATCATCATGGACCTAAGATTTGGCTCAGAATCCAAGCCAATGTAGAAAGAAATGACTTAAGAATATCAAAAATACAGGTGCAGCTACAATTCAATTACATATTTCCCCTTTTTGCAGGGTGTGTCTTTGTTCTCACAGCTGGAGATGTGTACTTCAAATTTTCAACAAAGAAAGTCACCACATTAAAGAACTCTAGAAATTCCTATAACAAAAACTGTAGCAATAACCATGCAATTTTCAATTGCCTTTCATAAAAATGTAATGTGCTTTAATCTTCTGTTCATTCGTACTCAACACATTTGGCAAAGTACACTAGTAACAGAAATGAAAACAATCATTTGAATACAAAGCTTAGGAAAAAAGACTCACATAAAGTATCTGTAACCAACATCTCCTAAGAATTTATTTTCAATTTTTTTAAAGAAGTATTAGAAAAAATTCAAGCATTCCATTTATGATCTAAGTTTGAAATACTCAATTTTAGTTTTGCCTAAAGGAGGAAAAGAAAACAAAAAAACAATTTTGATCTAAATAAAAACACTGGGTTTGAAACCAAACTGCCAGTTTTTAATCTATTCATTTCCCCAAATGTATAAATGTGCTTTCTACCTCTAGTGTTTTATCAGTTCAACAGTCATAATTTACACAAAACACACAGATGGTCACAGAAATAGTAAAAGTTTCAGATGTTACAACTTCCTGGCATATGGAACACTATAGTGGATCATCATTTTGGCAGCATTCAAATGATTTTAAAATTATTTATACATTCTCATCCTGCCATCGTTTCATAGTCATAGGTTATTACAACTCTAAATTGTTTGATTCCCGATTAGAAGTGATTCTTATATTGACTTCAAGCTACTCATGTGACTGGGGACTGATGCTTTTTAAATTAGAAGATAGCATCCTTCTAGACAGAAAAAGTAAATAAAGATATTATAATAAATTAAGCATTTTCACATAAACCATAAAATTTTGTCTCATTCAATATATGATACAGTAGGACATTCCAAGATTTTTTTTTTTAAATTCAGATTTACTACAGCAGTTTAAACTGTGAATGATACAAAAAAAACTAATACACACAGGTGCACACACAAAACATCCTTCAAAATTAACATGAACCTTTTTAACATATGAGATTACAATCACTTTTATTTTTATATAATTTATGAGATACAGCATAAGAAGGGTCATCCATGATTGACCACCAAGTCAATAATTCCCATGGTTAATTACCAATCTTCATAGTACTTTATCTACCAGCTACAGTTGACTCAGTTACTGCTGACACCTCCTTAAAATGCAATATTGGTGGCTGCCCTCTGGTTTTCTTCCTTTCTCATTGACTAATCCTTCTCAGTTTCTGCTGGTCTTTCTGCCTCTTCTCCCTGAGATCATGGCCTTAGACCTCTTTCTTTCTATGCATAACCACTCCCTGGATAATGTCAGTCTCCAAATGATGTATACACACTGATGAGTTGCAAATTCATCAGGATTGGCTGCATTATACCATGGTAAGAAATTCTCAAATGATTTAATACAGCGACAATTTGTTGCTCATTCATTCCTCATGTTGATCACAGAAGATAGAGGTGGGGCAAAAGCTCTGTTGCACATAATTCAGGGGCTGAAGCTCTCAAAGTGTCCTCCATGTTGTAGCTGCTCCACCTAAAACATGTGGCTTCCCTGTTTGCAGAGCAGTGAAGAAGAGCATTCCTGGTTTCACTCAACTACTGATAATTTCTTTAATTCACTCAGAGCCCATAAATCTGAAACAGTCAATTAGGTCTGCTCAAGATCTCAGGAGACAGGGAGGATGACATAGGAATGAGTACTCACATATCTACCACAACTTAATTTTTTCTCCTGCCTCAACCTCAACTCTGAATTTCTGATTTACATATCCAACTGCTCATTTGACTTGGATATATATAAGTATTTCAAAACTCTCTTGTCAAAAACAACCCCTGGTATGTCCTGCCCCAAATCTTCTTCTATAATCTGCATGACAGTTAATAACATCAAGGGAATGGGTTTATGGCTCAGCAGTAGAGCGCTCACTTCGCATTGCAAGGCCCTGGGTTTGATCCTCAGCACCACATAAAAATAAATAAATAAATAAAGTTATATTAAAAAAAAAGATGTCTGCACCTTTTCACTACCCAGACCAATCAATGAAGGCAATGCTTGACTTTTCTTTTTTTCCATAAGCCATATCTAATCCATTAGCAAATACTCTTGGCTGTTGCTTCTCAGTTTATGTTGACTCTAATCACTCCTCACAACCTCCATTCCTAGCATACCAGTTAAAACCATCATTTCCCTCTTGCCCTGATTAACAAAACTCCCACCTGGCTTTCCTGCCTCTGACATTGCCACCTTCTGTGTGTTCTGGAGACAGCAAAGGCTTTTTCTGAGAAACCTCTGATTCTTCCCATTTTACTTAGAAGAAAAGCTGAACTATTCACAATGACTATAAAGTCCTATGCAATCGCTACCTGTCCCCACATGGCATTATCTTCTACAAATCTCTCTGTTGTTCCCTCCATTCAACCCACACTAACTTAGCACTTTAGTGACAGTGTTAGTTGCACCTCACCTTAGGGTCTTTGAATGTTCTGCTTTGTCTGCCTAGAACACCTTTTTTTCCTGAAACTTGTAGAGTTTCCTTCCTCATTTTTTTCATATGAGACATTCTCTGATCAGGCTATTGAAAATTTCAATCCTACTGGACCTCTAATGAATCCTTCTATATATTGACTCCTTTATTTTTCCAAGACACATTATACTGTATCATACCATATATAACATTTAATTAGTATTGTCTGTATATACACTTTTAGAATGTAAACTCCACAAGGGCACTCACCAATTTTGGTCTAATGATACATCTGGGGCATTGAGAATTTTGTCATTAATTTATATTGAAAACAAATAGGTAATCAGGAAAGACATAAGGGAAATCAGGGATAATAATGGTTTCAATGTGTTTGAATTATTAAGGCAGAGAAATGGGAATTACAGATGATGATCATTAAATGATCTAGAATACATGTTTAAGGATAGAATATTCTTATCTTAATTGTGCATAAACCCAAAAGGAATTTGTTATCACTAACAAGAGAAGCATTTGTTCCTACACCCTCTATTCCCCTGTGCTATGGGCTTCATTTCCCATAACCAACTTTTCCACATGTAGTTTTCACTTTGACATGTGACTTCTCAACACCTCTTAAATACAGAGCTGAGTCATCCTCACCCTAGTCCCTAGAATTTCAAAAATCCCCTGAGGCTCATTCTAATTCAAATCAGTGCAGAAAAAAAAAATGCTTGGTTGTCTTTTAAGGTCCCTAGAACTTTGCCACAACCTTCTCTTCTTTCCTCCTATTTAATTAGCACACTCATCAGTTAGCTGGTTGCTTAGAAATAGTGCAGGCATTTAAAAGATTTATGTTATAACTGTGTTCTTCAACAACTTTAGCAGTGACCTTTACTCACACACATATTCTCCTAGGGAACTTTGATTCTTGGTAAATGAATTCACAAAGGACAGATATCAGCGCATGCAGAAAAAAGGAAAGTGTAAAGGGAGATATTTTACAATCATAGAATCAATGAAAACTTGGTTGATGGAGGTGTGTTAGTGAACACCTACCACTACAGAACAAGCAATGAAGTCACACAGAAGCACTGCTATCAAGAAGAAAACACACAACCTACTACATATCATGTAATTCTCTACTTAGATCAGAGCAGGAACTCAAAATTCAATCACCTACTCTCACAGTTTTCTTTTATGAGATAAATTCATCATTAACACTCATGACGAATGAGATTTTATTTCTCAGAAACAATATCAAACTCTATGGAACAGAAAAGCAATTTTAAAAAGAGACAGAGATATAAAAAATCCTAAAGTGACTTAGGAGACCTCCTGGAAACATACTACATAACTAAAAATTTTATGAGAAACACTTTTAATGGTAATACATGGAAATGTTATAAGCCCTGAGTTACAATAATAATTAAATCCACATAAAAGTGTTAACTCCAAGACATTAAAATTGAAATTATAGTTTCACTTTTACTGATCTTTAAACTAAACACCGTGCATTTTCTTCACTTATTTTCATGTCTATAGAGAGAGAATTGAAATATATTTATTTTAAGGAAGAATTGAAAAATGAGAGCTAATGCTAGTCTTCATCTAAGAACAGGAGCAGGGTGAAGATGTGTACAGTCAAACCTGAAGATGTTCCTGCTATTGGTTAAGTACTTACAGTTATTCTTTCATCTTTGTCATCCAGTGGAGAGCCATCCTTCTTCCAGGAGATGGTGGGCTCCGGATGGCCTCGTGGAGGCTGGCATTCCATGACAGCAGGCTCCCCTACTGCCACCATAACATCGGAGGGGTTTTGTCTGAAGTCATCCCGTAGTACTGTAGGAACAAAAATAAATCATTGTACTCAATAGTGACACATGCAATCCTTATCTCTGCACTTCAGCAAAAGAGACATTTACTATAATAAATTACTACTATTAGCGATCACAATGCAGCTTGAAGAATATCTACTTACAGACAACTTCAATGTAATAAAGATATTTGGCCTTAGCATGCACAGGAGGGGTAATTTGACATTCTTCAAAGGCCAGTGGGTGAATGTAGTCTGGGGCCTAGTGCCTCCACAGTTAGCATTTGAGTTCATTTTAACTTGCATTTCTTTGCTGCCTACCGCCTGCATTTTTTCTTTCCAGATGCTAATGATTATAGTTCCTTTTACTTATCAAGATGATGCTCTCTACAGTTAAATAAATTATGTATACATACACACAAAATATTAAAAGTAAAATAAAGATAATTCTAAACATTATTAATTGAAAGATGTTACAGATACCTCAAATTAATGTTCAAGATTATATTATCATTATAACTTAAATGTACACATTAATAAAAAATGAAAGATTATTAACTTATATAGTATCAACCCTATAGTTTAGAGGCGTGAACAATTCATTACTGTAATCTCAACTGGATACTAATACAGTATTAAGCTGCTATAAGATAAGCAGTGTTATTCACTTTGTGACTGTAGGAATAAAATGTGAAAAATTAAAACAATATGTATTCATGAATACTTCATATGGTAAAGTTGTCCTCAGTATCTTGATAACATCGAACCATCTCAAATTAGTTGGCATCAGTAAGTCCTAAATCACAACTCTGTTGTTTGCTAAATATGTATTTCTTGAACACATTCTTTATGATCTCTGTTTCCCGATTTACAAAACTGATATGGAATATATACTTCATTGAGGTCTAATGAATAGTTAACTTCCCCATCTTCAAATCCTTGATCCTGGGTGTAACAGAATGTGACCCATTGTAGAAGCCCAATTTAAGACACTGCTTAAAATGTTTATAGGTATATTAAGATATACATTATGATAAAGATTATTTATCTTTTAAAATAAATTGCTTTGCAGATTTGATACTACAATTGTACATTGGAATGGATGTCTTTCCATCCTAATGGCATTTAAAAATGTTTTCACAGATGAAGCACTACAATGTGAAAAACTTATACTCAAACCAGTATTTCAAACATTACTCTTAAATTTTAGTTTCAAAGCCTCAAATTAATAGGTTTTCCAAAGGCTCTATTTTCCTATTTCATTTCTTGAATTTTGTTCCTCTATACCAACTGAACACATGCATATATCTTAGTAAACCATAGCACATACTCAAAGCAGTTCTTTAATTAAAATATTGAGACAATTTGGGCAGACTATGACTATGCTAATGCCTGGAAAATACTTGCTTCACTATCTTTGGAAAAATAGTAAAAGAAAAAAAGACAAGGAAATATTACTGTACCAAGCTGTTGTGATTCTAACATCATACACTATTAATAAATTATACACTATCAATAAAACATAGACAAAAAAGTAAGATTTGTTGAAATAAAAACTCTACCTACCTTTACCACATAATAAAAAAACCAGACTATTAAGAATTTCACTATTTATAAGCTTAGATTATTATGACATGTTAAGAATGTACTACAAAAAATGTAAGTTTTATTAAAAAAAAGCAAACGAATTAACCTTAACAAGCAACATGTATGTTTTGCTGGATAAAATTATTAATCTGTGATAACACATCTGAAAAGCTTTAACACCCCAGAAATACCCAAACTAAAATATTTTTCAAGTAAAAGTAAATAATTTGCACAATTTTTCAATTTGTTAGGCTTTAATCCAACTTGGTAATACTATATCTTATTTACAAATTGAGATCACATCTCAAATAAACCAATGAATAATAGAATGTCTTGCAAAATATCAAAGGGCTATGTCAGATAAATCAAGCTATTTTTTTTTTCATTTATTATGTTATTGGGACTTTTACAGTATATAATGAAAAGCTAACAAAATGTAATCCATTAAAGACTGTTGCTTAGATAATGCTCATGTAATTATTTTTGCAGCTGTAAAGCATAAAACTCTAGCACTGCCTATGGCTACAGGCAATCCTGCATAAAACTATGAATTTAAGATTTTTCTCCTCTCTTTCATAAAAGCAATATTTCTTTCTTATTATACTTGCCCTGAACATTTTCTTTTGAGAAAAAATGGTATGTGTCACATTATAAAATGATATGAAGCCTTAGTTAAATTGTTGAATTTTCTTAACACATGTGTATATTTAATTCATTAAAATAAAAATAAAATCTAAGCAATTGGCAGCAATATGGAAGAAAAATTTTCAACATCCATATGTAGACCCAAATCCAGATCTTTTTAAACATCTCTCATTTTCTCCTCTAACATTTCTCATAATCAGTCTATATTTTGTAATGTTTCTCAATTTTATTTTATTTATTTATTTTTATTATTGGTTGTTCAAAACATTACAAAGCTCTCGACATATCATATTTCATACATTTGATTCAAGTGGGTTATGAACTCCCATTTTTACCCCGTATACAGATTGCAGAATCACATCGGTTACACATCCACGTTTTTACATATTGCCATACTAGTGACTGTTGTATTCTGTTGCCTTTCCTATCCTCTACTATCCCCCCTCCCGTCCCCTCCCATCTTCTCTCTCTACCCCATCTCCTGTAATTCATTTCTCCCCCTTGTTTTTTTTCCCCTTTCCCCTCACATCCTCTAATATGTAATTTTGTATAACAATGAGGGTCTCCTTCCATTTCCATGCAATTTCCCTTCTCTCTCCCTTTCCCTCCCACCTCTTGTCCCTGTTTAATGTTAATCTTTTTCTCATGCTCTTCCTCCCTGCTCTGTTCTTAGTTGCTCTCCTTATATCAAAGAAGACATTTGGCATTTGTTTTTTACGGATTGGCTAACTTCACTTAGCATAATCTGCTCTAATGCCATCCATCTCCCTGCAAATGCCATGATTTTGTCATTCTTTAGTGCTGAGTAATACTCCATTGTGTATAAATGCCACATTTTTTAATCCATTCATCTATTGAAGGGCATCTAGGCTATTTCCACAGTCTAGCTATTGTAAATAGCTATGAATATGGATGTAGCAGTATCCCTGTAGTACGCTCTTTTAAGGTCTACAGGGAATAGTCCGAGAAGGGCAATAGCTGGGTCAAATGGTGGTTCCATTCCCAGCTTTCTCAGGAATCTCCATACTGCTTTCCAAATTGGCCGCACCAATTTGCAGTCCCACCAGCAATGTACAAGTATACCCTTTTCCCCACATCCTTGCCAGCACTTGTTGTTGTTTGACTTCATAATGGCTGCCAATCTTACTGGAGTGAGATAGTATCTTAGGGTGGTTTTGATTTGCAGTTCTCTGACTGCTAGAGATGGTGAGCATTTTTTCATGTACTTGTTGATTGATTGTATGTCCTCCTCTGAGAAGTGTCTGTTCAGGTCCTTGGCCCATTTGTTGATTGGGTTGTTTGTTTTCTTATTGTTTAATTTTTTGAGTTCTTTGTATACTCTGGATATTAGGGCTTTATCTGAAGTGTGAGGAGTAAAGATTTGTTCCTAGGATGTAGGCTCCCTATTTACCTCTCTTATTGTTAAATAGTATAAAAAAATTAAATTTTAATTTTTAATTTGGGACTATATTTTTTTTAAAAAGGTCTCACTATTAATTTGAAAAAGAGTAAATAACATACATAGTATATTCAAGTACATGTCACCTAAGAAGGTGTTAAGACATAGTCATTCTAATATTATAACCAGATTATATTTCTTCCATATTTATGAAGTTTTATGGGTACAAGCTGGTGCATATAACACAGCTCAAATGATTTCCACTTTTTCCTTTGTTAAACAGAAAAAACAATATCTAATAATTTATCTTTCTGAGAAGATTTATACCGATTTTAATACAATTTGAAAATAGCGAAAGCTTTTTATCAGAAAAGAAAAATATCAGTGGTGTGCTAGAAACCTATCTGTGTAATGCTGAGAAGATAAGAGGAAAAGTAGAAAATAATACGTAAACGTAAACTGTTCCAAAAACAATGGAGGCATTAATTTATTAAAGCATTCTGTAGGAACATTATAAAAAGTTAGAACTGAAAGAAATGAAACATTATAGAACAATATAGTAGCTGAGAATATCAAATTCATCCCCAAACTAGATACAATGGAGTGTCAGGAAATTGCCACTTGCTAGCCTATGTGATTTGTCTGAAAAAAGACAAGAGGAAAACACAGGTATCCTTATTTCCTGTGCAGTACCCTTGGCTTTCTAACCATGTCCTCATTGTCCTGTACAAAACATTTCTCTCATCAAATACATTGTGTTTCTAATGGATTTGAGGGGTTCTCAGCACCACCACAGAAGGCTTGTCCTATGATGTCTGTACATCGCTGCACCAGGGTCTCATAACTCTATCCAGTCTTGATGGGCTCAAGTGCTCCTCAAGTTAATCTTGTCCCCTAATCATGTGTTCAACATCTGCAAACTATAATGCATCCAACTTCATGAAACATAGAATCTAATTGCACTTAGGGGCCTCAGGAGTATGTGGTACAAATTTTCTGTTTTAGAAATTAATAAACTAAGACTTTCATGGGTAGAGGACCATGTCACAAAGGTAATAAAAATGATGAAGATGATTTAGCAAAATGATAATATTAATGATGGTGGATGCTTAATGAATGTTTACTGTATAAGAAACCATACTAAGTATCAACTTACTTAATCCCCAGAACAAGCTTATGATAAAATGAGTGTATTAGTTTCATTACACAATGAGGAATATTTAAAAACTTAGTGGCCAAGTTAGAATTCAGTCCCTAGTATGATCAGATCTCTAGTTAGAATTCAGATCTCTAGTTGTCCACCTATCTGGTCTTAACACAGAGTTCACAATTCTAAGTACACAAGTATATGATATAATTAGTATTTCAATCTCTTTCCAATGGAACAGAAATTAA